CAGGCCAATAGTTTTGATCATTTAAAAAAAACCTGAAAGTTCAAGTTTTGATTTTGAACTTACTTTCATATATATTTTGATGTTTGGGGTCTTATAGTTTTCAATTGCAGATTTTATATTTTCAGATGATTTCGACTTATTTTTCGAATCTTATTTTTCTTTGTTTCAAATCTTTTTTCCGTTTCAGACTTCAAATGATAAGACATATTGGCCTGGATTTGGCTCCACACCACAGCTGCTGGTTCCTATAACCAGTTTTCTTTTTCTGAACCACTTAATGCACTCTCAGACCAATGTTATGTTACATGTTTTTTTAATGATTGCAGATTTTGTCCCAAATGGAACACACAAACAAATCTTCCTGTCTATGATCCCTCCCACATGACAACACATCTAATTCTTGATGTGTCCACAAAATTGCAACACTGCTGAAATCATATGAAGGTTTTAATAAATGTAAACATGCACACAGATGATCCTGGCAATCCAATGTGTCTACTGATTGTATTAAAACAAGCAATATAATGTGTTAAACCTCTCAAGTTAAAATTATATTGCACCGATATCATGAGTGTTGGTCTGTGTTTAAAGGGATAGTTCACCTAAAAATGAAGATTCACTCAGTATCTGCTCACCAATATGTCGATAGAGGGGTGGGTGAGTCCACAAAACACTTCTGGAGTCTCAGATGTAAACTTTGTTGAAGCAGAATCCAATACAACTGAAGTCAATGGTGACCTAAATTCCAGACAAGAAAACAACAGAAAAAACGCGCCTCCATACTTCTCATGTGGTGTCATTCAAGAGTCTGCATGCCCCGACATTGATATTCTACCCAACACCATATTTTTAGCCTAAATGTCCGCTGATATATTCCTACAAGGTGCATTTATGGACCCTTGGACACACCATGTGTAGCTACGTCCGCTAGCATCACCACATCCGGTAGTGGACCTTTAGACTTAAAACACAGTGTAAATGATCTTGTTTCAAGTCCAATATGAATGTCAGGGCTTGCAGTGTGTGATATTTTTTCTGTTTTGATATTACATCTGAAGTCAAGGACACCATTGACTTTAATTGTACTGGACTCTGCTGCAACAAAGTTTAATTCTGAGACTCCAGAAGTGTTTTGTGAACTCAAACACACCCCCACCCCTCCATCTGCATAGTGGTGAGTAGATAATGACAGAATTTCCATTTTTCAGTGAACTATCCATTTAATATCTTTACAAACTAGTTATAAAAAAACGTGTAAAACATTCTTAATAAATATAAAAAAGTTATACAAAATATTCCCCAACTCATTTCATCACATGCCAACAATGCATCTTGAGAACACATTTTCTCAATATTTCAGAAGACAGTTAAAGAAAGATTTGTGTCAATGCATCCACTATCGTTTGAACTGACATAGTTTTAATCACAAGTAGAAAAAGATTTACCTCATAATTCAATAAAACATGTACAGCTCACTTCAAAATTCACTTGAACCACCATTAAAATGTAATTGTAGCATAAAGAAAGAGAGCTCTAATCTCACAGACTATGTGCTCCCCGATTTAGGTGAGTTGCTGAAGCCCTTGATCGTCATTGGAGCCTGAAACCACACATAATCCTGCCAGTCTGACCCCTCTGCCCTTGTGTCCTTACAAGTGCTGGGATCTGTAGAAAGAGCAATAATTTGGTTCCTTACACGAGTTGGCACTTTAAATTGTAGTTTAGGGCGGAACCAGCCTACTCCGCAATCCCTGTGAGCCAGCACTAAGACTGTGGTGGGCATTAAACGAACAGGTCTGGTGTCCGACAAAAGGTCCGCCACGAAAAGCGTGCGGAACAGTTGCCTTAAGCACGGGGACACCCGTAGACACTGATCCCCACCAGCCAGCACCAGCCCCTCCAAGTTGATCTCATACAGCTCTTTGGGCAGGACGAGGGAGCCACCCATTAGGAGCAGCACGCGGGGCACTCTGCTCAGGGAGAAAAGCACCTCCAGCTGCTGCAACACCTCCTCCAGATCCTGAAGGGTTTGCTGACACTTGCGCCAGTCAATGTCTGCTGACTGCACTGGTCTGCGAATCACTGTGTCTTTATCCTGAAAAGCCAAACATTTGAGTAAAACCATTAATTTAAATCAACAACCTGCCATTGCTCATTGTGAAAACTGTCGGGCTTCTCTGTAAAATTATTCAAATAGAATTGAATATGTCCGTAATTTCCCATACCTTTTACATTTTGTTTTTATTGTATAGTATTCTGAGAAGCAATTTGTAAGCTTGTTTAGATCAGTGCTATACAAATAGTTATTATTATTATAACATTTATTAATTACTTATCACCCCTGTAGATTCGTATGTTTTTTTTATTACAGAGAGCATTTGAATGGATTTCCATGAAATTTGGTGGAAGCATGCAGTATAGGTCATGGAAAATCTATAACATTTTGGTGCAGATCCTGTTCAAGGGGCAGGGTGTTTCAACATTTTCACCCAAAGAATAATTCCTGGATCTTAAAGAAAGAAACAAATCTGACACATCTAGGCTGATATCTACGAGTATGTGAAATTTGGTGAAAGTAACGGGACTGTTAGGCCTTGGCTGAGGTATGCACTCTACTGAGTGCCATTTGAGTGTTTTTCTAATTTTGATTTTAATATTTTGATGTGCACAAAGATAATGTTTCCTGCTCACCTGCATTGAGGCTTGTTGTTTCTTCTGGGAATAAACCAGCTGGTCATACGTCATGGGTAGTTGCTGTCTCTGATAGAGAATGCACTTGAGGATCTCGCTGACAAAGCGACAGCAGCATTCCTGAGTCACAGTGCCGGGAAAGACGACGTTCACATAGCCTTGCTCCCGCGCTCTTCTCTCCACCACAGCATCATTGTCCTCTGTGATACTGTGTTTACTGGCAGTCACACTGGAATCATTCAAACCTCTCTGACCAGATGTGTTTTCTGCTTCTTCGTGGGCAATATCTGTCCAAATAAGGACAAGGAACAAAGTCATTGGACTGAGTAATGGACCCATCTTGGTCAATTTAAACTAGTCAAATTAAATGTTAATGAAATCTAGCAGAGACAGCTTTCAAATGAAGCCATTGTCCCCATTTTCCTCATAAATTGCTGCTGTGCAGTTGTGGTGGAAGAATTACTCTTTGCTTAAGCATGTGGCAAATACTTTTGCACGAGTATGCAAGTAGTATCAGAAATTTGTACTCAAGGCATCAAAATAACAGTACTTATGATTCCGAATCATCTCTTCAGTCTTATATATTGTGCTTCAAGGGGTGAAACGATTGCTGGTAACATGGTATACCATATTAAAATTCCCAACACTTAGTTGTACTGTTTTAATGTTTAATTACGGTGATGTCATGGTGATTTGACCATCCACTGTCATGTGCATTTAACAAACACTGATATTTGGCCCTGACTTTCAAATGATTGGGGTCAATGTCAGCACTTCAAAAAACAAGTTGTCAGCCTGTCTCTTCTGCTTCTCTGCTTGGAGAGAAACTCAACTGTGAATGAACATGGGTAAAATGTAGTACAGACTCACACTGAGCTGAAATGAAACAAGCAATATTTAGCATCATCATGATATTCTGAAACGACTTAGAAATTAACCAATATTATTAGACTTTTTGAAAACACTATGCACAACTTTGCAACTTCTATTTAGTTATTAGTTGTGTTCATCTAAACCTTTATTATGGGAAGCTTCTTTACAAACTAAAGCCTTCTTCCTTTAATGTTAATGTTGCACTCTTAATATGGCTTTGACTATATTATTATTATTTTATTACTAAGAAGACAATTATAAAAAAAAACAACAACAGAAAAGCTGCAAACCATCACAATTAAGAAACTAGAATCTGACAGTGTTTGAAGCTTTTGCTAAACTGATTATTTGATTCAAACTGTTGTATGTTCTGTGACGACCTAATTTCCCTTTGGGGATGAATAAAGTAATCTATCTATCTATAAACTACTGCTGTAAGGTAAGTGGAAATAATACGATAGTAAGTCACAACGTTTAAGATATTTTGAGATGGCTTCCTCATATCTCCTCAAACAGAAAGAACAGGCAGAGTTTCTTCAATGCAGCAACAAATACTTCTTTCAAAGTTCCTGGCAGGAAACCACAGATGCACTGTGAGCGCCGGTGCCATGATGATCACTCACACATGACGTACCTGCAGAGAGGTTCTCCTTCTCCTCCGCGTTGTTTACACTCTGCTGGTTTGAATTCGATCTGTTTTCAGTGGAGACGTCTTTCAGGTCTCTTTCCGAGTTTGATCGTGTGTTCGCGGCCTCGGCTGAGAGCTGTTCGGCTCTTTCCGCAGACGCTCGGTATGAACCGGAGTCTGCGGGGACACGGAGTAAAGTTGAGCCTTCCCTCGTCGTGTCCTGCTCCTGAGGGGAGCTCGAATCTGTATCCGAACAAATCCTCTGCGTCCCATTGTCCCCGCTGTTAATGGTGGACGTGTCCCCTGTGTCCTCCGTGTCCCCACAGTGTAAAGTTGATTGAAATACTTCAGACTCTTCTGCCATAGTTTTGAATGTCCCCGCCGGGTCTGTGCCGCGCTGCATCATGGGAAATGTGGAGTTCAATGGCGCTTTCACGTATCATGAAAAGAATCGGAAAATAGAGATCTCTTTGGGAAAACGTGCTCCATCCGGCTATTGTATTCTAAATAAATATTTTCTTCCTGGACGGGCTGGGTGGGTGGGTGGAGGGCCCAGGATTATTTTTACAGGTTGCTTGATCTCCACTGACTGAAATAAACAGATTGTTTCCGTACTTCTGTACTTTGAAATAAACACATTGACAGTTTTATTTTGTAGGCATTTTCTACAACGTAGACATATTAATAACATGACATATAAATAACGTGACATATTAATAACATGACATATTAATAACATGACATAAATAACATGACATAAATAACATGACATAATAATAACATGGGATATAAATAACATGACATAATAATAACATGGGATATAAATAACATGACATATAATTAACATGACATATAAATAACATGACATATTAATAACATGGTATATAAATAACATGGTATATAAATAATTTAAAACTAGCACGTCTGTTTTAACTAAAAGAGTAAAGTGTTAGTTACTAAGTTGGTAGGCGTATATAGTCATATAGTTGTATATAGTTTAATAGTATCGTATTTGACTTTTTTAGTTATATTATATTATATTACATTGTACTATATTTTAGTTTTATCTTAATTTGAAACTGCTGTGTTGAAAATGAAACTGAAAATGTCTTTCTCATCCAACACTTCTCATTGTACTTACTGTACATGTGGAAATACAACTTGAAAACTTTTGAGAGATGGAAATATACAAATGATACGATACAACTCGTGCGGCTCCTGAACCAAAAAACCTTTCCGAGTTGTTTAAGTTTAGTTTAATATTTACATCAGTACATTTTGAACTTAAAAAAAAGAATCAAGTTCATAAAAATACATTAGTTGGACAAAAAAAATCGCAAAATAGATAATCAGCAACATAAGTAGAAGAAGAAAAACTAAAAAGTAACAACATAAATATTTAGTGAGATAAAGGTGACTTGCCAATGCCATTATAGTGAATGTGATTGTGTTCTTGGTCAGCAATGAGATTAACAAAACTTGAGACATGTAGTTGAAGTTGACTCGTGTAGAATATCATCATATGAGACACAAAAATAAGAAAATAAGAAAAGTGTGAAACATTAAAGAACTGTATTTAAATCTGCACATGCAGGAAGTGAGGAAAGGCCGCAGGTGTGGTCAATAGACGCGCTGACGCTCACGCGGACACACGCGGCAGGTGTGTGTTTTCAGAGAGACGCTGCAGGCTGTCAGGAGACGTGTGTGTGTGTGTGTGGGATCCATGATGGCTTCAGTGAGAGTAGCTGTCCGAGTCCGTCCACTGAACAAAAGGTACAGACACGATGGCTGCTTGTATTTGTTTTGTCCAAGTTTTCAGGCTGAACGCTCATTAACGACACGTTTCCACAGAGAGAAGCAGTTGTCCTCGAAGGTGATAGTTCATGTGAACGGGGGCACCACATCTATCCACAAGGTATTTTACCACTGAGTGAAAATAAAAGAATTCATTCTGGTCGGTTGTTGGTGAGAATTTGTATTCATTGTTATAAATATTTTCAAATTCCAGCCTTTGCCTATTCCACAACAGGGACTGAGGGACAGAGGAAAGGCCTTTTCTTTTGACTTCTCATATGATTCCACTGACAGAGACAGCCTCGTATTTGCTTCCCAGGAGAAGGTATCTAACCTGATTCTTCTCCTGTGTTTTTACCTGGTAGTTTTTACTAACTCCTTCCTCTGCTGCTTCAGATTTTTCATGACTTGGGCTCTGATGTGCTGAAAGCTGCATTTGAAGGTTTGAACTCCTGTATGTTTGCCTATGGCCAAACAGGCTCAGGAAAATCTTACACCATGATGGGTCACATGGTAAGTAAGACACTGTCTGCTTTCTCAGCACTAGTTTGTTAAAGTGGCAACTTCCCCTGTAGACATCTTATGAGCATTATTGGGTTATTGCCTCTGCCAAGGAGGTTATGTTGTCACCCTTGTCCATTTGTTGTCTGGTTCATTTGATTGTTTGTAAGCAGGATCACGAAATCTACTCAATTTCCAAGAAACCTGTTGGAAGGATGCAGTTTGGATCAGGGACGAATTCACTACATTTTTGTGCGGATCTGGACCAGAGGGCAGATTCAGGGCCTTTTCTTTTCACTTTCTGTAAAATTGCAAAATTCAACACTTTCACAGTTATCTTGATTTAAAAAAATCAGGGACATTAATGGAACTGATATCATAGCAGTGTCTCAATTCAGGGGCTGCCTCCTTTGGAGGACGTGGTCTAGCTGGCTAACGAGGCAGTCTTCATGGATTGGGTAAGCATCAGGCATGCCGTCGCTGAAGGGCAGTGAATCCTGGGATAGGTTGAGCCAGGAAGGATCCACCTGACTTAATTTCTCCAGGATGGAAAGGCACATTTGTTGGCTGGGCCTGGGACGGACCCTGAAATGAGACACAGTTTATGAGTGGGAGAAATGTGGAGCGACTTGATTGATTTTAGTGGACTGTTGGGCCTTGGTCGAGCTGTAAACGCTCTTTCTGCTGTTCTGTTTTCCATCTTGAATGTCAACTGTGGTTTTAAAGTTAAAACCCTTCAAACACCAGGGAGCATCAAAGCTAATGGGAGCCTCATCACACGTCCCTCCCCTTCTCGACATTTATCTCAATGTTTTCTCCCCTCTAATCAGAAAATGTGATGAGGGCAGCAATCCATAGCTTTTCTCTCCTCACCTTGCACAGCCATGGAAATCTCACATTACCCAATGAGGTTTGGTGCTTGTCTACCAGGAGGCTTGTTCAAGGTCATCAGCGGCGCTGCTGTCAACATCACAGATAATTATATATGCCTCTTAATGCTCACTATCTGTTACTTTGTAATTAAAACAAGAGGGCGTGCAGCTCCGAGTGGAATTGCTTTTATGCTTCAGTAATTCCATATCAGATGAGCGGTTGTTTGTGTTGTTCAGTGGTCTTTACATGTGCTGAGTAGTGGTCACAGCCTCGCAGAAACTCTCAAATTAAGAGAACATAATGGGAGCAAAATTAAATTGTCATGTAAAAGTACAGTATTTGTAACACTATCGTGATAAAAGTTCTAATTGCAACATTTTCTGCTTTTTGATGTGTCAGGGAGATGAAGGTTTAATCCCACGTATCTGCGAAGGCTTGTTCCAGGAAATATCTCATAGAAGCCAGGGTGATGCTGTGTCGTTCCGTACTGAGGTCAGGTAAGAGACAACCGCACACACAGCAATCTTTCAGCAATCTTTGTCTTTACAGCATAAACAAATTTAAACTCAAAACATTTATGTTAACGACAAATGTGAGGGGATTATTTTACTTGTCAATGTTGTACCGTAGAGATGATGCCTCATCAGCATGGTGGAGGTTTGTGAAAAACTGCCAGAAAGCAATGTTGCAAAACTATGCAGGAAACAAGCAGAAGTCTACAGTACATTTCATAAGTGCAACCAAAGGCTATGTGACTAACCAAAATAGTGCACATGTGGAATAAACAAGCACACCCTTCTTTCTACTTCCTCTGACAGTGATTAGCCTTTCAGTCCGAAACAACAATGATAAGGCAGTTTGCTGTTAGTGCGTTCTTCTGTTTTTTGTTACAACATAACTGTAACACAGCCCTTTTCAAAGGCAGAAAAACATTAAGGATCGATTACTATCAAAATCTACGATGGTACAGTCTCATTATAATATCTCTTTCATGTCTCAGTTCCGCTCTTAAATGATTATTGTTCACAGATAAAAATTGAGAATTTGAATCTTGTCAAGCTTCTGTGAAAACATTATTGAGCCATTTGGTTTCATCTGTGCTGCTGGCACATTATTGGAATTTAATTCAACTCCAGAATTGAGTTTTTATCTGCCAGGCCTCGTGTCAGAACATGTTGAATAGCTTGAAAATGAGTGAGGGATGGCAAGTTTCACAAGTAACACAGTTAAATTCCAATTTTTTTATGATTCAGTGTACCCAGCAGAAGTGTGGCTCACACATCAGCCTCCAAATAGATTGTACACGTGTTGTCATCAGGCAAATTATGTTGGAGTTAAAGGAAACGGCAGAGAAATCCACTGTTTGAATCAGGTAGACAGGTTATGATAATTATTAAAAATCTCTTTAACATTCCCGATGCACCCAACATAGATTATGGTTTCATAGAGTGTAGTTTCCTTCATTACTTAATTACTCATTTCCCGATAATGTCCCAAGGTCATGGCTCCAATACTCACAGGAATGAAAATGAGTACTTTAGTTTTGCTTTCTTCTGAAACCTTCTACTGTCTTTTGTCTTTGTACCATTTCATTCCACCACCGTTAAACCTCATCATACATTTTGTTTTCTCTAATAAAGATTATGATAGAAGAATCATAAGTCACTATCTTAATTAACCCCCCCCCCCAGTTTAAAGATTGCAATAATGGCAGCTATGCCTCTAGTCATTTAGAAACCATCTAATATCGCAACCAGTCTGAGTTGTCAACACTGCCAGAAAACGACCTGCATGGCTACATCCACAGGATATGGTTCCTGCCATTTCATTATTGTCACACACTCCTAAAGCCTAATTACTTCATGCTTTGCATTATTTTCAAATCAGCTCCTCAGATTAGTCCTTTTGCTTAGTGCACGCACCCACCATAGTATCGATTGAGGTGCTCTGCTGTTTATTTATTCAAAGCCAGCGCAAACAGAACAATGCAAGCAAAATATTGGCTGTAAACCCGCTGCATCTATTTTCATAGTAAGCAAATTGTTTTGTTTTCACCCAGTGACCCTTTATTCATTTGTTCTTTTTTGGCTTTGGTACAATCTTGGATCAGATTTTTGCATCTGTGTTTCTGTCTCGGCACCAGCTACTTAGAGATCTATAATGAACGTGTGCAGGACCTCCTCAAGAAGAGAGCTACACCTACAGATGGTGGAAGCCTGAAAGTGAGAGAGCACCCCAGAGATGGCCCCTATGTTCAGAGTAAGTATTAAGTTATATTCCACAACCACCTTAGCTGAGCTGCATATGATCTCATACAGGAAACTACAACTTGTGTGTAGATCTGTCCAAGCACTTGATGCACAACCACTGTGACATGGAGAACCTGATCACTCTCGGCAACGCCAACCGCACCACAGCCAGCACAGGCATGAATGACCTCAGTAGCCGCTCCCACGCCATCTTAACCATCAGCTTCACTCAGGTGAGCTGCAGTGTTCAGAAGTTCTCCAATCTGCCATGTCATGTTTGAGTTGGGCTGGTCCACTGTTAGTAAAGGCCATTTTCTCCTGAGCTCTAATTAGCCTCAAGTATCCATTTTGTGACGTGATCATTTTCAACATGTCTTCATCTTCAAAGTATTTCTCTTTTTTAATATTTAAGCATCACTTTTTGTTGTGATGCGGCTGCTTAAGTATTCCTCTGTGAAGTTGCCTTACTCTGAACTAAACTATGGTTGCTGAATAAATAGTTTTTCCTGACACAGGCATGGTTAGAATTGGAGTTGCCACGTGAGACGTTGAGTAAGATCCACCTGGTCGACTTGGCAGGCAGTGAGAGAGCTGATGCCACATGCACCACAGGCACCCGGCTGAAGGAAGGTGCCAACATCAACAAATCCCTGGTCACCCTGGGCAGCGTCATCTCAGCTTTGGGTAAATGGCTGTTGACACTTCCTGACACAACACCCCGTCTTAATCTATTACTGAAATCAGTGAAGCTGCTTTCCGACCTGCACTGAATTCGGGGCATTCTCCTGAAATTAATGCGGAAAAGCTGTAAGTGAGAGCACAAATGTCCAAGTCAGTTTCTCAGAACTTCTTCTGGGGTTTTTCCTAGCAGCCCCGTAGTAAAAACTCCAGAGAATTGCTTAGCAGAATTCACTGTGAGTTAGTGGGTGTAAAAAAAACTTAAAAGAAAAGAACCAAAAACAACAAAAATATCTCAGAAAAAAAAGAGGCGCCATACAAGTAGAAAATATTGAAGAAGATTTCAGCTTGGAAAAACAACGAGATTTGAGAGCTTTTGGTTATAAGGGCCAATACCAGTGCCGGATGTGCAGTAAAGAGAGACATGTGATTTCTACAGTGAGATGCATGAATTGTGAATTGCCTCCTGCATGCTCTATCCAGACGCCATTCCTCACCTGAATGAGATTTTCTTTTTGTTGTGAATGCATCTAACCCAGACTATCTCCTGCTGCATTCTTCACATGTGAAAAGCAAAGTCCAGAGAATGTCCAGACCCTATTGCCCGGACATTGTCCGGAGTTTATATCTCAAAACCGTGATTTTATGCTTTTGCAATCTGATATTTGGTTCAAATCCAATTTGGTTTTTCATCATTTGAAGGAAAACAAATTTTGCTCTGATTGGAAAAAATAACAATACTCTGTATTGAATTTTATTCAGGATCTTAACAAGCTCAAAGTCTTAGTGCAAACCAATAACACTTTTTTCGGATTACAATTTATTCGTGACACTTCCTCTCCCACCATGGATTTAGAGAACTGGATGAAAGATTTCATTTATTTCAGGGAGTTTTTCTGAGGTAGTGTTTTCGTTCTGTGTGACTCCCCAGCTGACCTTAGTGTGGGAGGACAGATGACAAAAAAGAAGAAGCAGATCTTCATTCCGTACAGAGACTCTGTGCTGACATGGCTTCTTAAAGACAGCCTGGGTGGAAATTCTATGACTACCATGATTGCAAGTATGTGCTGTTCATCATCTTTTTACTCTTATCTGTTCTTGAAGAAAATAAGGTGACGTTTTTGTTACCACATAAACCTTTTTTTGTTTTCGCTATACGTCCTCCTACCTCTTGTAATCAATATGTGCATATTTCTCCCTGGTGACCTGTAATGGCAGCCATTTCTCCTGCTGATGTGAACTATGGGGAGACCCTGAGCACTTTGCGCTACGCCAGTCGAGCCAAAAACATAGTGAACTCCCCCACAGTGAATGAAGACGGCAGTGTGAAGGTTATCAGAGAGCTGCAGGCAGAGGTAGCCAGGCTCCAAAGGCTGCTGGAAGAAGCCAATCAGGTCCTGCATATGTTCAAACTCACCTAAAAGGCCAACAAGTACACAAAACTATATATGTTGACGGTCTTTTATTCAAAGGTTATATTGTCGGTTGGATTGTCTTTCACTACTCCAGGTCTCCCGTGGGGAGCTGTCTCCTTCTGTGCTAGTAGAAGAGGAGCTGCATCATAATGAGGCAAAGGTGAGTCATACTCTGTGCGGATGGAGCACAGAGGTGTGTTGGTGTCTTACTCTGTAAATAATGCACCTGTTGATCCTCTAGGTTCTTGTACTGACCAAGGAATGGACCAGCAAATGGAATGAGACTCACAGTATCCTGCAGGTACAACAATTATTATTTCATATATTTAACTAACCAGACAAAGGTACAGTGGCTGCACAATCTGTGATTTTGATTTGGTTTAACATTGAAAGATCAACCACAGTTGACCACATTTTTTGTTATTCATTTAATTGCGCCATCTGTCATGGTTTCCTTATCCCTTACATGAATAACTAAGCCCAGCATGTGCCTGTGGCCTCATCCACACCAGCAATAGAAGCTGATTTACCAGTTATTCTGACAAAGGCCACATTAGCTTTTGTGTAAATATTCTGGAGCCAGTTTAAGATGAGTTGGATTAATTTGAGAGGCTGTATCTTTTAATTTTTGGACATGAAGTAGTGGATGATGATCCAGTGGTAATTTCTTTTAATTTAATCAAATAGTATTCAATGTTCAACCACATACTTCAGTAAAGCCCTGTAGTTTGATATCATGAGTTTTCTTCTTTGATACAGCCACAATAGTTTGTGTACCTGTTATAAGTTTTGTTTCCTATATTGTTTTCTATGTCACCATTTTACATTTAGCAATATGTCATTAACTTTTAAAATCCAACATGCAAAGTTGAATTTGGTAAAGAATGATGTGAAATGATGCTGTTTGAAGCTTAATATAGAAGGATATTTAAAGAAATACAGAAACTAAAAGCCCACTGAGTGCAAAGACTGTAAAGGTTTCATTCATTTTAACACTAAAAATCAACTGACCAGTATGATCCAAGCAGCAATTTTATCAGATTGCTGCTTGTAGTAAGGACATCCTACCAGCTGGTGTCACTGCAGGTCTTGTTAACAGCTGCTGCCACTTCATGGACTGGAAATGGTAATGAGAGTAGAATCAACCTGGCATTTAATTTAATTTTCCATCCATTTAGATTTAAAATGCATTCAAAAGCCCTGTTTGCGTAACGATGCTGAAGTTAGTGTGTGACAGTGTTTGGGGAGAGGGACGAAGGGAAAGAAAACAGGTGTACCTTCTCCTACAACACAATGGTTTCTCTGAGGCCAGGACAGAGTGGCAGCATTCACACCCCAGAGTTTACACTGAACACTTTTCCTCTGTTGAATTTGTGCCCAACCTCCCAAATAACACCAAATGTCATCTGTTTGGGGCTCATCGTGTTCAGCCAAGTAGCCCGTTGCATTATGCATTGAGCTGTGAAGCGTGCCAGTCATGACGAGCACGGAGTTACTTCTTGTCTCTATCATACATGCGAGCAGTGCATTCTCTCTCTCTGAGTATTTGCATGGGTTTAAAGTATTGTGTTGATGTGGCCTTTGAGAGATGACTCTGAATAGATTTGTATATTCCTGGCTTGTAGCAGTCAGTAGTGATCCTGTAGGTCAGGAGATGAGTAATAGAAGGCAGATTGCTTTTATGAAGCTATACGTTTAGGAGGATGACGTGTACGAATTTTAAATACTCTATACATGAATGTTGGTTATATATGTGCATGGTGGGCAATTAACATTCTACTGTGTATGGTGGTTAGGTGACATTTAGTGGCTCGACAGCCCTTTATTCATGACAGTGTATTGGAACTCATTAGCAGCTGTCACTGTTCCTAATTAAGAGGTCTTGATTATTGACATATGGCACTTTTGTTTCTGACTGTCTGGCATATTAATTAAAGTCCCTGTATTGTAAATCTGTTTGCATGGTCAACCGGTGATGACTTTACGCTCAGAGGCATCGTCCATCTCTACTGGCAGAGCTGAAAATAGGTCTGATTTAGATCTGCGCCCATCTGATATGATGCAGGATACGACGTGACACCCAGGCAAAAAGGTCACTGTACTGGTGACCGGCAGGCACACTGGTGTTGCCGAAACTGAAGTGTTTGATGAATGACTTTATGGATTTGACATTTGTCTTCATGTGCATTTGCATTCGAGCCGGGAGAAAAATGATAAGTGGGATTCCTGCTTGGAAAATCTGCAGAGACAATAGAGGTGGTGTTTTTACTCGGTTCAGTACAGAGATGCACATCCAGCCCCAGTTTGAAGTTGGCCATTTCAAAATTCTTTTCTTTTTTTTAAACAAATACCATCCAAAGGTTTTTCATAAGGAATCATTCTTACAATGTTATCCATATTGCATGTTCTCCATCTCCAGCACATGCTTTTTAAATTGAGAGCAGTCTTTTCCAACTCTTCGTCGCTATATATTTTGTGTTTTATTCATTTGACTCTTATGCTGAGAGCGAGATGAAATTTTCTGCTTGGGCTGTAAAGAGACAACTACGAAGACGAGCTGACCAAGAGCGGTGTAAACAGAATTCTGAATTCTGTATTCAAAGCAGATTGAGAATGCAAAGTTATTCATCGTCAGCTTCCCAGATTGGTTACAGGGCATGTGGGGAAGAGAAAGTAATTAATATGAGATGGATTCCAGAGCAGCCTCTTACCAGTCAGAGGCGGAAACAGATTGAGGAAAACAAAATAAGGCAAGAAGAGGGTAAAGTGAAATGTTCTCCTGCAGGGG